CCTGTAGTGCAGAGATTTGCACCTCCAGTTTACACCAACCCCTGGTGTAAAACCTGAAGTTCTTGAAGGTAAGTTTGTCACTAGTGTGGCTGCAACTCTGAAACAGAACTTTTAATAATCTTCTGTTTTAAAACCTGGTAATTAAGGGTAAGATGAACATTATTCTAGGAATTAAGTCAATCTTTTAAACAGATTCTTTGGCTTAAATTATATCAATGTGATGGTACAAAGTGCAATAGTTTTCTCTCTTGAGAACTTACTGGAAAGATCTGCAGTAATTACAGAGCACTCATCTTCCTTTAACTTTTCTTGCTTCCATTTTCTCCTAACTAAAACCTATAAGTCAGAGTGGTAAAAAGCTTAATGCTACAGTGATCTTTTTGCTAAACCAAAGATTGCCCTTTACAACTGAGTTGCAAAGAAAACAATTCCAAATCTCATCTTACAGAGAGCTTTCTGAGAACTAAAACATACATGGTCAAAGTCTGGCTCTAAAGCAGAGTCCAGGTGAGGTACAAGACTGCTATTCCAGTTCCCCAGAACCAAAACTAAAATCTACCCCTGCCTCTGTTCCAGGGGAGCCTACAGACCAGTTATTTAGCTGACAGTAACTTGTTACATGACTGGGGCTTTAGAGGAAATCACAGTTTTTCTGTTAGGAAAATTCTACATTCTATGGTTAACATTTCTCATCAAAATGATTCTCCCTGCTTCAAGAGGCTACTGTCAAGTGTGACTATCCATTGAAAGGAAGAACATTCTAGACTGACCTGTGCTGGATTAGACAGCTGTGCAGAAGGGATAAGGATGCCTAAAACTTCCTTCACATTTTATGGGAGCCACCACAGGAAAAAAAAGGTGCAGAACAACACAAATATAAGATACCAAATGTTCCTACAGGTTGAGACAACGTACGATGCTACACACCTTGGAACATGTGCAGATACAACTCTTCAGGGGTCAGAGATTTATACAGTCAAATGAGGTCATTGCCACTGTTTTAAGAGTGTTTATTTCAGCCTACAACAATCCTGTTGTACAACACGGCTCAGGGGCTGTTCTCAGTCTCCTCACAGAGCCCCCAGGTCTCTGTCAAATAGGTGCATTTTTGTCACATTCCTGTAGCTTCCCCCCAGTCGTTTATTCACGTGACTGATTCCTGTGTTGCTCAAATCATTCGCGTAAGAAAAACCACATCGTCCTCTGTCAAACCAAAAAAGACTAGCTGGAGTTACAAATAAAAGGTCACCAGTGCCTCAAAGAATTGGTACCAGGAGAAACAAGGAGGGAAAACACAGCA